TCTTAAAGTCAAGACAGCCGGCTGAACAGTCTATAAGGGCAGAGTGAGCAGTTAGAAAGCCCATACCTAGAATTAAATCATGAGGGCAATTTTTGATAGCGGTGAAAAGAACAGCTGTGTTTCTATCACACAATGGGCAATAGTCACACACAGCAATGGCACATGCCGATAAGGGGGGCAGTTCCCCTGTCGGCGACTCGAACGGCTCAGTTCAAGACTGGTGTGACAACTTTCTTTAATTGGTGACGAAGAGCAGCACTCATGATGGACACATGCGTGCTGATATCGATCAACGCGCGCACAGGTACATTGTCTAAAGTAACGTTCAAAATATTTCGGGTGGTCGGTAATGTTACACAGAAATTTCTTGCAGAGGTTGTCGTCAATGCAGCTCCACCTCCAGAAGCTGCACTGCCTAGTTGTCCAGTAGGGGGCGCTGCGAATAGGTTGGAGTTCAAGCAAGATTAGAAATTAAGCAACGTGGAATAGGTAGGCTTGCTTTAGGAGCTCACGGGAATACACCAAATCAGGGAGTACAAGGTGATATGGGATGGACATCATTTGAGGGCAGGGAAGCTAGCAGCAAGATAAAATTTGAGAAGCGATTGAGAGAAATGGGGGAAGAGCGTTGGGCTAGGAAGGTTTTCAGCTACTTGTACATGAAGAATGTCGATACAAAATGGAGGAAGCGAACCAGGAAGTTGACTGGTAAATACTTAGAAAACAGCAGGTGGCCAAACCAAAAAGAACTATCGGTTAAGAAGAAAGTGAAGGAAACGGAGACTGACATGTGGAGAATGGGCATGATAAAGAAGTCCGCACTAGAGATCTATCGAACGTTTAAGCAGGAAATTGCCAAGGAAAGGATCTATGATAATACTCGGGGTAGTTCTCTACTGTTTGAGGCCAGAACGGGAGTACTGCGAACCAAGACATATCGGGCCAAATACGAAGGGGTAGACACAGTATGCAGTGCGTGTGGAGAGGAAGAAGAAACTGCCGAACACTTGATAATGTTCTGTAAAGGGCTTCACCCTATAGTTCAGGATGATGGCGCAGAGCTTTTCAAAGCACTGGGGTTTAGGGACCGGGAGGGCAAAATAAACTTTAAGCGGGTAGACTTAACTAGAAGGAGGTAATCTGATTGGTGGCTAAAGTCAAGGCACGAGTGAAAATTAAACTCTTCACTGCAAAGTACGAATCCTCAAACTCTTTTTTAAGGAAAAAAAAAATATAGTTTTTGGTTCATTAGGTATTACGGCTTAGTGGCGCTAGCCACCGCCCGATCTAAAGGGTACAGCCATATCCATCCAGAGGCAGGACGGCATTGCGGGAGCAAACGAGATTGACGGCGAGCTGGGGATGGGGAGCGAGCGTAGCAAGCTCTCGTCAGAGGTGCGGCAGAATCAGAGAATGTGGTCGGCATAGGGAATCAAATGCTGAGGATGACTGGTGGACAGAAGTGGCCTGTGGGGAGGCCCATAGTGAGCCGGCGGAGCCCAGTGATTGCGGCAGTAGCGAGCGATATGACAGACGCGTCGGCAGTTGAAGCATATGGGCTTGTTGTCCAGTGTACGCCGTTCGGACAAACTGCGTTGTCGAGAGTAGTTTGAACCAAAGCGAGGAGCGGAGGGACGACGATAAAAAGGCTCGGCAGAGCAGACTGCTTGAAGAGGATGTAGGCCCAGGTTCGATAACTCCTGACGAATGAGGGCTTGTATCAGTGAGATCGTGGTCGGTGAAGAATCAGGCGTTGGTAATGGAGTGACTACTGGTAGGGCTGCCTCGACGAATTATGCGGGCGAGGTTGTCACATCAGGGAACTTGTCGGAAGGCATCATCGCATGAAATAGTAGCCGCTGTGTTCGGCAGGCGCGTGATGCCGTAAGTGACGGGGCGGGCTTTAGTCTGTTCTAGACGGCGGCACTCTGTCAGGATCGTGTCGATGCTCGTGACATTCTTAAAAACCAGCAGGTTGAAGGCATCGTCAGCAATTTCTTTAAGAACGCGATTAACTTTCTCGTCTTCTGACGTGCACAGGTCGACCTTGATACAAAGCGCCAAGACGTCAAGAATGTATGAGACGTACGATTCAGTAGACGTCTGGGTGCGAGTTGCGAGAGTCTTCTTGGCAGTGAGCTGACGACCAGATGAATCGCCAAAAAGATCACGGATCGTCATTTTGAAGAGATCCCAGCTCGAGATTTCGGCTTCATTTGTTTGAAACCATGTCCGCGACGTGCCGTCGAGGTAGAACAAAACATTCGCGAGCATAAGCATGCGATTCCAGCGCTGACACGCGCGTATCGATGCAGCCAGGAGTCAACTTCGATGGCACCGTCAGTAAGAAAGTTCCAGGATCCCGCAGGGGCGTCAGGGTGACGTAGGTTGTCGACTTGGCTGGAGATGCCGGTGGTGATGTACTGGCAGTTGAAGTAACCGAAGAGTCCCCGGTGTTGCAACCGCTGCACGTCTCCGTCAAGGTATGGAAGTCGTCCACTTTCACCAATAATGTTACGAGTAATATATTTATTAAGGGGAGATGCGGATCGAAAAATCGCGTTTTTTGCGAAAATTTCCACTTTTGAGATATTGCTTCTAAAATCACTTTTGATCAATCAACTATCATTTCGCCAAAGGTCATAGCTGAATTCAAACAAGAAAGTGGTAAAAAGTCGATTTGCGCTAGTGAAGGTAGCTGCCGAAGTCGCGAATTCACGCTTCCGACGGCTATTTTTGAAAATCCGCCACTTGGCAACACGATGACGTCCGCCATCGGGGTTTGTCAACACCACCTAGTTTTCTAGGTGGTGTTGGGTTTGTTCGGTGGTGTAGATCAAGGCTCCTTCTAGTGTACAGGCGTCCCCCTAGTTTTGTATTTTAGTGAGGAATTTCACAAAACAGTCGTTTCCAAGTCGGTTTACAGCCAAGCTGCAGCCGCTTCGCGCATCTCTACCGGTCACATGGTACGCTACCGAGGCCGCCATTGGCTACATCTGATCGGCCTCGCTCGCTGAGCGCTTGCGACGATCGGCACTTACCGTGCGTTTCTATGTTTTCCCGAGTTCACCATGGATAACTCGAAGAAGCGAGACTTCCGAGCACGAAAGTTTGCAAGTAAGAACAAGTACCAAGGGCGTCGACGTAAACCAAAGCGCAAAGCAGCGGTAGAAGAATGCGAGCCGCGGGCCACTAGGCCTAATCAAGGCAGCGGGGATACGGCGGCTTGCGGGAACTTTGACGAAATCGACGCCGCGATCAAGTTCATCAGCGCATCAGAAAAAAAGATTGAACAGTTCGAAAGCGAAAGAACGAAGAGTGTTTGTGGCTCTGTGAGCGGAGTATTTTGTGACATCGGCGCACTGACATCGATGGTAAGCCGTGCTGTTTGTCCAACATGCCACACCGCTGGACTCGTCGTTCGCGACACCGCAAGTAAACGTAAGGGCCTCTCTTCGTTCCTCGAGCTGCACTGTGATAACAGTGAGTGTCCTGAGTCAGTGGTTTCTGCCGCGCATAGTTCGCGGCGTGTTCTGCCGGAAAGACAGCCCACCGATGCCGGTGATGACTGGAGCTACCGAAGCGGCAGCTCGCGCGACAGCTTCGCTGTCAATGTGAAGGTAGTTGTGGCTGCGCGTGCAATAGGCATTGGGCATGAACAGCTGTCGCGTTTTTGCGCTATTCTTGGACTGCCAATACCTATGCATCATAAGACTTTTATTGCAATCGGCAAAAAAAAGTTCATGCTGCAGCTACCAAAGCTGTGCAAGAAAACCTGGCGAAAGCGCGGATGATAACTAAAGAGAAAGTGGATGGGGCTGATGTTGCTGTCATGTATGATGGCACATGGCAAAAAAGAGGGCACAAGAGCCACAATGGCATCGGCACTGCTGTGTCTGTGGACACTGGTTTGTGCCTAGATTTTGAAGTGCTATCGAATTACTGCCTTGCCTGTAGCCGGCACCAGGACTTGGGTGATGAGGAAGAAATATGGCAAGCATTCCACACACCTGTCTGCGAAAAAAATACAGAGTGCTCCTCTCATGCCATGGAGACTGAGGCAGCTTTGCGCATATGGGGCAGGACATCCTCATACACAACACCATTGCGCTTCACCAAGTTCCTCAGGGATGGGGACAGCAAAGCTTATACCGCTGTCGCTGAGGCCAAGGTATATGATGAAGCTGTTGTGGACAAGGAGGAGTGCACAAACCATGTGGCCAAGCGTCTAGGCACTGCACTTCGGAAACTGCCAAGACGACTTCCACGAGGGGAAAAGCTGACAGATGGCACAATTCAGAAGCTGCAGAACTATTACCGTATTGCAATCACAAACAACAGAGGTGATATTCTGAAAATGCATCGTGCCATCTGGGCCTCATATTTCCATTCATCATCGAGCAACACAGCAGGCAGCCACCGATATTGTCCAGAAGGGGCGACTTCCTGGTGCAAGCATAGGCGAGCCGAAGCGCTTGGGGAGGCCCCACCCAACACCACCTAGAAAACTCAAGGCCCCCACACGGCGCCGTGACGTCACGCAAGTAGGATCGTTCTGGAAGTTGGCTTCACCTCACCCGTTCGCTCCGCAAAGCGGCAGGTTGCGACAAAAGTAAAATTCGCTCGCGTTACGCACAGAAGCTAACTAGAATGCCGCGTCCACAATTACGCACGCAGCTTGAGCGGGAAAAATCGCTACAGATGGTAGCCTCGCTTCTTAAGGAGGCATTCTGCTAATTTGATTATACATGAGTTTTCTAAATGATTGGAAGAGACTTACCTAAATTTCAATCGTCAATGCAGATATCAGGTAATAACTTTCAACCCTGCTGTGGTTCCAATAATACATTTAATACATCCGGATGTTACTTCCTAGAGTTTCAAAAGCTCTAACAGGTATGCTGGAAAAATGGCAAAATTTGACGTTACATGAAAACAAAGTGTCAGCAGCTGAAAGTGGAAGAAACATGTTCGTGTTCAAAGAGAAAATGACTCATTTCTGCTCAGTAGTAATATTTGTTTATTATATGCAGCATAACAGTCAGCATAAAAGTGCATGTGTGGCTCAGCGTCTGGAAGTTGCTGTAGTAACTTTTCTGGAAATGCACTTTATGCTTTGGCACGAATTGCTGCTTCAAGCATGCGGAACACATATGTGCACAATTTCCGTACAGAACAGAAAGAACAAGATTGACAAGATTGGCAGCCTTCTCACAAATGGTAGGATGCAGATCATTTCACTTGACAACGATAAATAAAAAGCAGTTCATTTACAAAGAATACTGTTGAAACAAAAGTGCATAAGGACACTTCAATTTTTAACAGTTTCAAGTTTTCGCTTTGCCTTTGTTGCAGGCAACTTGTCATTTGATGTTTTTGCCTTTGTGGCAGACATCTTGTCGTTAGCCGTTTTGCACAAGTTGTTTAGGAGGGTGTTTGCTGCTGCACTTAAAATGTAATGCATGACCTGTTGAGGAGCATGCCCATCAACACAAACATCCAGGTCATCATTATCACTGAGGATGTCATACACAAGGGCCACTAACACTTCTTTCTGTTTAGGAAGAGCAAAGAACTGAGTTGCAAAGCGTGGACTCCTAAGCTTATCGAGCACTATTTCCATGGTAAGCACAGCATTTATAACAAGTTCACGTGGGAACTTCAGCCCACCCCTTGTCATGCTCATAATGAGGACATTTTTAGCAGTGTCTATCTCTGCAACATCCATTACTAGGTTTTCTTTGCATGATTGGCACAACAGTTTCTTTAGAGCTGCGTGAGCACAGTAACCTGCAACATATGTCACAGCGGGCAGCCTTGTCACTTTGTTCTCAATATCACTGTCATTAACTGTGATGTCAAACTGGCTTAGCAGTGAGCTGGCACTAATGACAGGAATATCGCACACCATGTCAACGTCTGGCAGCTCGAGCACTTTCTGTAACCGCAGCTTTGTCTCAGACTCATATATCTGTCTAATTGACACATGATAGTTGGCCCCAGACAACTGACGGTAACGACCAAAGCGATCCTCGAGACAATCTGTTTGAAACTTGCCTAGCAAAACATATTGCATACCAAGCTCTTTGAGGCAGTAAATAGTAATCTCGTGGAGCGCGTGAGTTGTATGACAGAAAGCTGAGTGCGTTTCCCTCGTCAAATGTCCTGCATCGTGCTTCAAACTTTCCCAGTAGTCTAGCCACTGCATTGTTTTCTCCAAATGCTGTAACTGGAGGCAAGATGTTGAGGTTATAGGCTTTTGCAGGTCATCTGAAAGCCTCTGGCCCTTTCGTGGTGTCTTTACATTAACAATATTCCACCATGTTAGCAGCGTGTTTATGTACAAAGCTGTACTGTCAGCGTGCTGAAGGTTGCTATTGTGAAGTGCTGCCACAGTTGATGAATTAAAGATTCTCAATGCCAACTTTACATCTTGTCTCTCCATGTTAGAAGGATTTAATGCCTTTAATGACAATGTCGGAGCCATCTTCAAGAGCTCACTTTGTTCAGACTCATGCAGCTCACATAAAGTCTTGAACGATGCGGTTAAAATCTTGGGTTTGGCTTCTGTACTCTTTGGATCTGGGAAATACATGCACCTTCCTGCATTGCGCTGATTTAACCAGTTATTTCTGATACATTTCAATAAGTGGACAGGGTCCACGACAAAAAACAAAGGTCGCGATTGGTCAGCTGGATGTTTATAAACTATCTGTAGTCTTGGAGGGCTTGAAAACAACGACATTGTTTTCCTGTTGATAGAATTGTTGTCAGAGATGATAGCAATCACTTTAAACCCATTATGCTCGAGCTTTAAAACTAGCATTCGCAAAAAATCATGCAAGCATTTTGCATCAATTGTAGCGACTGGCAAAATATGCACAACATCTTTGTGATTAGAAAGCAGACTCTGGGTCATAAAGACATATGCTGTTTTAGCCGGGCTTGCAGTGTTGGCTGCTGCACCTGTTATTGACCCAGCTTTGAAATCAAAGTATGACTGAATGTGAATTTCATCCATCATTAAAGTTACTATCTTTTCATGTTCTTTCATTGTAGTAGCAACCTTTTTAGCATATGACAAAAAATAAGAGTCTTGCTGCTCCATGGCTGGGCTTATTTGTTGAGTGGTGCAGAGACGTCTTATTGTTTCAGGATGAGGCAACTTTACCTTCAGTGAACCTATAAGGAATCTGTATGCATGCGGCGAAATGGTGTAGAGGAGACTTGCAAATACTAACAGGTCTGGCGGGTAGCGCGCTGCATTATTAAGGATGAGCTGCACTTGGGATTTTATAAACTTCACAATTTCCAGGGGCCATCCATGAAGCTTATGTTGCTGATCATTGCATATGAGCTCCTCCAACAGTGCCATCACAGTCGCAAGTAGTTGACGAGCCCACTGAAAATTGTTGGAAGAATGAGGAGTGCGCAGACACTCAACATGATGAAGGATGTCACTTAGTTGCCGCAAGTCCTGTAACTGAGCAGGCACACTTACACCATCAAGCACCACTACGCGCGTTTCACCAAAGTACACTTCCACACACATGCTGTCTTGAACTATCACCGATGAACGCACAGAGGCACCCCGATCAACAGTCAAATCCAGGAATAGAACCTTTGAGTCCATGCTGACCACAGACCAAACGGTGAGGTGTTAAAGCTTGGCAGAGCACGAAGAAATTCTGAAAAGCTTGTAACTTTGTTCTGCTTGTCTTGTTGTTGCTTTTCTTCCAGAGATTTTTCAATGGCAATGCGGAGTGATTCGTCCTCAAAACGTTTTCGTTTCTCCTCTGGTGCCTCCCGAGTACACGCATTTTGACGAGAGAGGTATTGAGGACAATTCGGGAACACACTTGGTACCGCATCAGGCTTCAGCCGGAAGACTTTCAGTGGCACTTCAATAGTCTTCCCCGTCTTCACATCAGTGTACTTTGACGTTTTCACGTAGTCGCTGGACACGAAATGCTTCTCGCAGAGCTGAAAAGACAAAAAAAAAAAAAGGATTATGTGGGACCACGTTTTATACACTGTCGAAAGCGAGACGGTTCTTTTCGACTTTTGATGAAACCAAATATGAGCACGTTTCAGGCTCCGACCATTCAGCCAGGCCGATTAGGCTGGTGATCGATACGCTCAGCCGCTAAAACGCGCATTGCGTAAAAGTTTTTTTAGCTTCTCCATGGTGGATGGATGCTATGAGCGTCCCCTGTGTAACGGGGCGGTGACATGTGCGCCACCAGGCTCATAAAAAAAATTAAGAACTTTTCATTTTTTTCCCTCTCTTTAAGTTGTCCTCATGCCTTTTAAATCTACTTCAATTAAATCGATTATGGCAGAAACGTAAATTCACAGCCCAGTCTGCCCCTTATGGGAGAAAGTCGTTATTTTTCCCTATAATTATTATTACGGTATACCTTGGACATCTTGCGACGCTTCGTGCAACCACAATTATAGACACGTTTGTTTGTTTTCGCGTGGTTTCCTTCAGGAAAAAGATATAAAGGTCAGCTCAATCGATAATAGGCGGCCGCCGCGAATTTACCCGTTAGGGAAATGGAATGCAGTAGATTGCTGCAAAAACAATGCTAAGCTTGCCTGGTTCATCTTGACCCCGCTAGATGACCACACATATTTAACATTCCACGTTTAGGGCCATGGTACCCGGTATAACGCTAATGCAAAGCAGTTTGCGGAGACACTCTCTAATGACAAGCACTGTATCGAATTATAAGCCGTATCTTACCACTGTGTTCTTTGTAGGCGCAAAATCCTTTCGGGGAACCGCTCTTGTCCATGCCGCCCGCCGCACCGGGTCGTTTGGAAACACGTGCACGCGCACGTTTGGCTGTCCTGCGTAGTTCGACCTGCAGTTCGGAGCGCTACAGCAGCCGGGCATTTCTGCACTTCGTTCACACGCACAACCACAGCGAGGAATCGGAAATATACATCTTGCAGGAGTAAACAAAGCACATGCACGCGCGCAAGCCAACCAACGACATCCGAATGCAAGCGAGAGGACGACCCCAACTGCTCCAACGAGCAACTTGGATCATTGTGGTCAGCATAGGTGAAACGAAATTCGACGGAGACGCATGGTAATGCGGCTGCTTAATAATGTTTTACCAATTCGGCGTGCCATTTTTTCAGAATACAGTTGGCTAATTGAAACAGAGTAGTTAAATTCTGCAACTTTTGGCAATGTTTGAGCCCGAATCACTGCAAAAACTAAAAAAAGAATGAGTTATTTTGGTTCTAGTCAGTCACTGCGGATGTCACTACGAGCCATCTGTAGCTGTTCTTGTCCGGACTTGTCAGCCTGCTTGTTCACGTGACGCAGACGTTGGCGAGGCTGACTGGGCTGTCGCGCCGTCGGTCCCAGCCAACAGGTGGCGTTGCCCCAGCCATCCGAGCGATGATCTGAGCTTGGTGACGTAGGCGCTTGGGCGAGGAGGCGGCGAGGGGGCCTTAAGTTTTCTAGGTGGTGTTGCCCCACCCGACCACACACCAATCTTGACCAAGGCTCAAGGATTGGCTGTGCTTCCCATTTACAAGCGGCTCACAGATGAAAAGTTGCTGGTGCGTTGTATCCAAGGGAAGACCCAAAACGCTGCAGAATCTTTGAACAGCAAAATCTGGTTGTTTTGTCCGAAGACTAAGTTTGCCTCCCGGACAACAATGGAAACTGCAGCTGCTATGGCCGTGTTGTGGTTTAATAAAGGACAATCAAGCTTTGAACACGTGCTAGAGGAGCTTGGTGTAGTCCCACCAGATCAACTGATCACCCTGGGCCAATCCCACGACCAGAGGAGAATCGAAAGAATGTCTGCGTGTGAAACAGCCGAGGCAAGGGCCCATCGGCGGAACGTGGCAAAGAAAGCGCGCCTTGATGACTCCCTTCTCAAGCGGCGAGAAGGATCCACATATGGAGCAGGACAATTTTAGGTGCTCTAGCTGTGTCCCTTCTATGATATCACCAAGTTTTGTGCAAATCGCACTGTGTAATCATGAGTAAACATATTTACAACTTTCAAATGCATTTTTCTCGATTTCCATTTTGAGGTAATTCTCTCATCTTGTGCACAATCTTTCTAGGCATAAAATAGTCCTATCTTGATGAAATTTTGCACAGAGCTTAATCAGCCACTCTAAAATACAAGTATCTACTTTAGGTTGCAATATACATCACAGATTTTTTATTACACAACTTGATACACTGATAGAGAGATGTAAAATATGCATTTAGTACTTTTAATTTTTTTTTAATGTAGCAAATAAATTTTCTGTTTGAGGTACTTTTCTGTATTGTACTGCTCAAGTGCAGCAGAATAAGCCATTTTGCAATTCTGTGTGAAAATTTTTAGTAAGCTTTATTATGTGCACAAAAAACACTATATTTTGATATCAAAGTTGTAGTAACTCCGGAACTACTATAGCTATCAAAAAAATAATTGCAGTTATGAAATCAGCGCTGCAAGCTTTATTAACACCTAAAATTTCAAGGAGCTGGGTTATGAAATAAAAAAAAACCTTTTTCGAGTAGCATCTCCCCTTAAACTACATGCGATGCACCCAGCTCGGCCAACAAGATGGCGCCAGTTCATCAACAACCAGCAACCGTCGTCGTCTTCCTCTTTCTTGAAACAGAAACGTAAAAAAAAGGCAGTCCGCAAGTAGAAGACCGTGCAGTCCGAGCCCTCTCGCCTTTATCTTTTTTTTGCAGCGTTTCAGATTTGGTTGACCGCGTGGAGGTCACCAGGCGCTGCGAGTGCCGTAGAACACTTCCAACTTGCGTGTGGAGCCACGCTACCGCGGAGATAGCGGGGCGCAACGAGTGCTGGAACGCACCTTCCAGCTCCCACGGTGTTCGATATAAACGTGCGAATTTCCATACTTTTACAAAAGAATTTCAAGGGGATAACTTGAGAGTTCGATATGCCCGAAAATTCTATATATGTGGGTTCGACATATCTGTGTTCAACTGTATTGCCATGGCGGGAAGTAGTAAGCACCGACCATTCGCAGAAATAAAATGGGAATCAACATTCTGGCCCATTATGGAGGTCATGTTCACAAAAAATGAAAGTTTTTCAGGGGTGTCGGTTTTATGGGCTTGGTTATGTGAAAAGGATTCCTCATTGCAACAATTCTTTGAAGGCTGCAAACTGCAGTTCTGTGCACAATCTTTAGAAGCACAAACTCAATGATGTTGAGTGGTTGGTGTTGAGCCTAGGTGTCAGCTACGACCTGGCTTTAGAACCTGATGTGAAAAGTGCGGTCGTGGAAAGTGCGGTCGTGTGAGTGGATCCATAACCTCTAAGCAGACCCATTGCTAATATGTGTCAGTGACACTCCTATTGTGCTCTATCAGTGTGAGTTGTCCTTCTTTAATCAACTGCTCACGTGATGACACATCTGTGGTAACTATTCCGTGCCACTGCACATGGGTGGATGTTTCCCTGTTTTTCAGCCTATACCAGCAGTAAACAATTAGTAGTTTCTCTCCCGTCTGTCTCTTTCTTTCTCTCTTTTTTGTGTTCTTAGAATAGCGGCAGTTACGAAATGTTCAGCAGATTAAGGCACCAACTCGCCTAAAGACAAGTTCTCCTAAGAATGGTTGTCTTAGACAAGCGAGACTATGAAAATAAGCTCGATTTATGCTCGAGGACGATCGAACATTTGTGTCCTTGAGTCATGATCTCACTGCAAAACTGCAAAGGGACTTGCAGAAGCTGTTGGCTGACATGTTTCGCCTTGTGCCTCCTCAGCAGAAGTCCATTTATTTTTCCCTTCTTTACAACGATGGCTCTGCTGCCGCTCTTTACGCGTTACTCAAGACCCACAAGGAGGGCATCCCTATGCACCCAATCATCGACTTCACCCACTCGCTTATACACAAGCTATCAGTTACCTTTATAGAATTATCTCCCTGTAGTCGGCAAAAACTGAAACGGCTGTTTAAAACTCACACCACTTCATTGAAAAAGTTCACGACACAGTCATACATGATGATGAAATTCTAGTGTCCTTTGACGGAAAGTCATGTTGAAAAAGTTCACGACGCGGTCCTACATGATGATGAAGTCCTAGTGTCCTTTGATGGGAAGTCACGTTACACCACTGTACCCATTGACTTCACTGTCAAGGTCTGCACTGACGCGCTCGATTCGGACCCAGGTCTTTGGTAAAGAAGAACACTTGAGGGTGGAAGCTTGGGCTAGTTGGTGCGTAGTCATATTTGCAAGTTTTTTTTAGCGTGCGAACATAGGAAAAAGGAACAGAGTAGACAGAAAGAGCACTGATTTTCAAGTAACTTTATTTCGCAGAGTGTCATGTTACATCCCATGCACAGTGGGAGTCATCTACTTGATTACGCTGACACATGGGAACGCCTATGTCGGCCTAACCAGCAGGTGCATAAATGACCATCTCAGAGAACACCGAAATAACATGCACAAATGTGGTACAAGGGCACCTTGGCATCCATTGCCGGGATTGTGGTTCCACCCCCCTCTTCGATCAGTGCTCTATATTGGCAAGGCATAAGAATAGGCTTACTCGCGAAATTATTGAAGCGAAAAAAATACACCTACTAGGTGATAAATATGTAAGCACCTTATCTGTTGCTTTATCATGTTAGAACG